CGCTCCTCGTGATCTATTTTCCCCTTGGCTGCCCTAGTTCGGGAATTCGTGTTCGGACTCGTCCTCCTGCCCAATGTTCGATCTCCGACTCAGACCCCACGAATTCGCCGAATTCCGAATCTCGACTTGACTTCGCCCATGCTTACTTCATTATAGTTGTCTCCTAGCCTAGTGTTAACGGCAGTGGTAACAACGAAACCATACCAAACGAAGGTTTACAGCAAAGTGACCTATAATTGTTACTTTTGTTTAAATTTTAAGGTTTCTTTTTTGTCTGTTTGGCTTTGGTTTCGTTTTCGTTTTCTTTTTGCTGCTGTGTTGTATTCCACGAGGCCCCGGACTGTTTCCAGAAGGTTGAAGAAGATCAAAACAGACGACAGACATGGCTCTTGACACGCTAGGCAATTCCGCCCTACCAAATGCCTTCAGATTCTTCTCACAGTTCATCGACAATGTCGCTGACACGGAAGCGCCCCAAGTGTCGGGACAGTTACAGAATTTTATGTAAGTAGAACACATTCTTTACTTTTTTAAAAAGAACGTAGGTGATTTTACGCCTCTATCGACACAATTTAGAAGTCCTGGTTGAAGCAAATTATAGAAAACAACTCATCACAAATATAAGAAAACGACAGGCAATTTTCTTCGGACACACAATGCGGAAGGAAGCATTAGAGAATATTGTAACAACAGGAAAGTTTGAAGGAAAGAGAGGCAGAGGCAGACAGAGGGAAAAGATGCTGGACAAGATGACAACATGGTTGGGAGCAGCAAGAACAACAGACACCATTGCTGCAGCGCAGGACAGGGTGAAGTGGAGGTCCATGATCGCCCACGCCAGTCGGCTAGGCACCGGATGATGATGAAGAGGGTGACTTCCGACCCTGTCCGTTAGGTACAACCCAGGCTGAGATCGAGGGATACAGCATCCCTGCAGAAAGACCGAGATACTCGATATCACCCCCCCCCTTCCCAAAAAATTAATAAATTAAAAAAACCAAAAACATCCTTGGGCAATCGAACTCAGGTCTTTTGCGTGCGACAGCAATGGGCCTCTAACCGCTGCACCACAGCCGATGTCGGTGCAATATTTACTCACCTTCTCTCTCCCTGGAGGGCTATACACAAAACAGGCGTCTGTGGTGTAGCGGTTAGGCGCTTCGAACGATGGCTGCCCCACGCAGGAGACCGGAGTTCGATTCCCAAGTTTGGAAGCATTTTTTTAAATGGATAGGCTGTACGTCTTTCTGCCGAGATGTTGTATCCCTCTCAACCAGGGTCGGCCTTGACCCAGTGACTGGCAGGGTCGGAAGCCCGCCTCCGAAATGATTTGGAGTGTTTCGATTAAAAACATTTTTTTTTTTTTTTTTTTTTTTGGGGGGGGGGTACCTGCATTGAAAAATGATAATTATTGTGTATAATTAATTACACACGGCATACTACACAAGGCACAGAGCATTCGACGCCACGCTTGTTTGTCCATGCGGCCACCTCCAGTAGATTCGTTTGGTGCACCCAGGTCTTGGGGGCTTGGCTCATCCTTGGTTTTCCGCTTCTTGTTTTCCATTTGGTTTTCAGTACTATGTCTGATAAGGCAATCTTGTCTTTTTTATTTTCCAAACATGTCCCAAATGTCCTCATCTTCTATTTTTTATGATCGTGTTGATATCTTCAATCCCAGCGCGTTTACCAACACGTTAATTATTGCTTGTGACAAACCCATTCCATTTTCATTAAGACAATTCTTGGTAGACTTATAATTGTTCGAAAGCTTTTTCATTTTCTTTGCCTTGTTTATTTTCTGAGTCTCTGAACAGAACATTAATAGATAGAAACGCATTATATTGATGATTATACACAATGTGATATTATAATAACACCATTCGTCTTTTTCTTTCCAACCCATCATATTATTATGTATGCGACAGAAAAATACAATTAGATCTAGATAAGAAAAATCTTCATTCTGGAGATATTAGTTTTGTTTTTCAACACTCACAACTCACACACACAGCACATACACACACACACACACACACACA